TGTCAGTGACAGCACTCTGTAGTCTATGACGTATATTTTACCACAATCTACCCCAGAGTAAACTTCAAGAGTATGCTAACGGTTCTCTTGAAAAGAGACCTTAAATGTCTTTGCGAATTTATGACAGTAAAATAAGACTTAATTGCGTAGCTCTTTATATGTAACTGGGACTTTAAGTAGTTCAAACCGATACGTCCTGAAAGTATGCCCACAGTGTACACATTATAACAAATAACTTCTCAAACATTTATTGAATATGTTTATCCCCGTAAGGTGCTGAGAGGGAAGTTAATTTAGTCAAACATGCCCTTCCTGCGACCTCCGCGTATAAAGAGCTCCATTGAAATGATAAACTACCCACGTCACAATCTCGTACGAGTGTTATTTCCTCCAGGATAAAACACATGCATACGGCTGCTTTTACGCATGTACGTATCTATGGTGCCCAGTTAACCATGGATGAACCGGAAGGGAAATCAGTGTTGCCTTGCGTCAGCATCCCTCTCAGATACTTCATTGTCTTATATTGTACACACCGAAGAGCTAGGATCTGTTACCCGGATGTAAGGGACACGTTCTGTTGGTCGCGACACTGTAAGATATATGTAATGAGTTTAATGTTAGAACGTATTAATGTAGCCCTACCAACGTGCGGAGATTCAAAGTCTTCTTATTCCACATTGTTGCCTGAGCGTCAAGTGTCCGTTTGAATAATAGTGAGTATTTGAATCAGATGTATTATTCAATACAATATCAATAATCTATATCCATATACCCACATGTTTTAACTAAATGGTCTTCATGTATCACGAAATTTAATTAATGCCAAGTCATGGATGAAACACATGTACATTTGTATCGGGTTTTTTTATTACGCCAACTGATAAGTGTCATGTAGTGCGCTTATAACTTCATCACAATCATTCTGTATGCACGTGTTTGTAAAATGATTCTTCGTGCGTCACAAATGTTTTTTAATTAGTCATAAACTTTTTATGGACTTACGCATTTGCAAATCATCTCAACGCGACCTTGTTTTCTGGGAACCGAAGCAGAGAGGTTAGCAAGGGCGGACTCAGCTCAATACGCTTTTTTTTTAGAGGAGTGTTTGTGTGATTAACTGCGAGATCGCTTTTCCAAACCGCCCTTCACCACGATGGGGGCCGAGAAGTTATGATTTTGGGACCTGATCGAGCCTTTCTTAAATAGCTATCGGATCCGTTCGTTTAGTGGGGAAACATTACACCCAAGTATCTCACACAGGAACAAAACATTTTACTCAAGGACTGAGCTCACATGGCATATTCCGATATAGCTTTCTATGACTGTCAATTACGCAGTGGAGATAAACGCAACGTTGCATTTCCACAGACCATTTTACGAGGTCGTTATTTTAGAAAAAAACGATTACCTTGCTGAGATATTTTCTAGCAGGAACCTGTGGAGAAATATTAGATATGACGCATTACGGAGACAGATCGTTATAAAATGGAACTGTCGGGAGGCAATCAAATGTTAAACTACTCGTTCAAAATGTATTGCATCTAGAAAAAAGGGTGTAAATATAGATCATGGAGTTTTGCAAGCAGATATAAGACACCTGTTCACCCGCATCATGTAGCCTTCTTGAAACACTCTCTTCTTTACAACCTTCCACATAGCCCATATACAGCACAATTGTAAACAGTACCAGTGATTTGATATTCCAGGGTCGAGGCAATTTGTTTTTTATAAAATGTGTAATGGTTAGTCCTTAAAGTGTATAACGCGTTAACTGTTTTCTTTGACGAACATATATATATATACACTACAAATGTGTTGGGGTAGCCCGATTATTTCATATTACGATTGTTTATATGACATGGCATGACAGATTAACTATAGTAATGTGAAAGAATCGGGTGATCCTGAACTTTTTGTTTATATAGTACATATTCAATTGAATTTGTATTGTATTTTAGTAGTCTTGCTGAGAACAAATTTAGGAAACATTAGTAGTTCTGATTTTAAACAAAATAGTAATTTTCTATTATACGACCAAATATAAATTAATATAAAATGGTACGGTGAGGTAGCCAAGTGGGTAAAGCGTTCGCTCGTCAAGCCAAGGACCCGGGTTCTAATCCCCATATGGGTACATAGAAACTGTTTGGGTGATAAACATAAATGCGTCTAAGTCTAAGGAATTCAATTCAACATGTGGTGCATCAATGCAAGTTGTTGTTTTTCTTGCAATGTCGCGCTCCAAATAGAAATATCAAGCTCAACTGAATATTTCCAACGAAAAGTGGGAATGTTGAAATGTTACAACTGCTGTGAGATTTTCACACTGTTGAAACAGCGTATGAATGCTTCACATTTCACCATGCAGTAAAACCCCATTAATCTGCACTGTGCCATTCAAGTGAAATGTTTTCACAATAAGACCTGGTGTCCAGATTTACACGTTTCCAGGTTAACAAGTCATGGGTACGCAATAATACATGTTGTGCATAGGTAGACGTCCCTTACAATAACCACCACAACACTAGGTGTCCAGATAAGCAGCGTCCGGACAAACCGGGTTTTACTTTAATAAACAGGACACCACAGCACACTACGATAAGACACTGACGTAACTGCACAGTCATAAGGCGGAACAACCACCTCCCATCACACCTCTGTACGTGACGAGCTATCTTTGCATAGGCTTGTAAGTAAATATGAAACGAGTATGATGTACAACTTGTTGAATACAGGGTGTATTGAAGCTATCTGCGTTTACCTTGTGAGCAACACTGTGGTGTAACATTGAATGATTTCGAGGTGTATAGTGGGCCTATCATCTGTGTTGTATAGTGTGTTCAAAGGGATTACATGGGCGTGTATGGTCACAGCTGATGACTGACGGCGTCTCACCAGTGTCATTAAGTTACTGGTATTTAAGTTTTATACATGCGGAAGGTAAGTTGAGACTCCGACAAGTGAACTGATAATTGTGTTAACGAGTTACAAAACTGCATTACGGCAATATCATAGTTAATAGAGTATTATATACGCTCGCAAATGTTACTATATCCATCGTGTGTTTGTTGGGAGCAAATCTCGTATGATCTTGGGATCATTAGCATCTTCCCGAGGCAAGAGAGTTAACTGACTTTAAACGTGGAAACTGGACTTTTATAGTCAGTTAACTCTCTTGCCTCGGGAAGATGCTACAGTGGCTGCTAAGACGTTCTCTGGTTTATCAGTCGATTGTAATTCTTGATGTAACTTCAATAGTTTTCGCGGATACCTGTTCATCAATATTTGATAGTGATTCAGAGATAGAAGTTTATGATACAGTCGGATTCGTATGTAATGGTTTGGGAAGAGATTTCTTGTGATTATGGAAATGTGTTGTGTCGCTTCTATATCATGTATGTACACACTTAACCAGTATGCAATATGTCTAGGCTTGGTCTAGATATGATTGGATTTAGGTTGACATATTTGGTAATGGTCACCAGAGGTCACCACAAACCGCTGACGTAGTGTATAATTGTCATGTCAAAATGCAGGTAGAATAAACCATGAGGGGCGCAGCCCAGAGTTGTTTACTTTCCCTGCAGTGTTTTATTGTACAATAAACAACGACCACAAGTCGTTTATTTCTTATATGAAATTTCAACATAACGTACAGCGTCCCGAAGAATATTAATAAAATGTACAAGCTTTAAAAATATTTCTTTATTTCTTATATGAGATATTAACATTAGGTACAGCCTCTTTAAGGATGTAAGTAAAAGGTACACGCTTTAAACATATTTACCCGTCTTTGAATAATCTGTCCCTGAATACAATCCGACCTCAGCAATGTCCGATAAGTACAATTTATGAACAGGGGGTATTTCCCAGATATCCTCACAATTTTAACGTCGATTATGTGTACCATTTCTCCCAATACCGATTGTCATATCTCTTCCACTTTGGGATGCGATCGTTCGAGCATTGCGTTTATCTACGTTGCCCAGCTACATCTATGGGGAACAACTCACTAGACACCTCACTATCAAAAACAACGGTGTCCGGTTTACAACGTCGTCAAGTTGCTAGGGCATGTTCGTATATCCAGAAATGACGTCATGATAGAACAATGTTTTATCGTGAAATAAACCACGCTTTGCTATTCATTGGTTTTTGCGATTTATCGCGTAGCTATCTTATATTTGTCAATGAATATGACCCTCTCACATGAGCAACACAAACTTGTGCATATTGTGCATATGCGTTAACGGTGCACAAACGTCTGTCGGGATACAATAACCGGGGCTGAGCCCAGTCTCTCCATCCTCAATGAAGCTCCATGCATAAACATATTGTCTGCAAACACTGTTTCCCCATGTTCGTTCAAGGTTGCAGCGAGGTCTCACTGATGATGCAGTGTTTATTTCTATTCTGACCTGATAGACCATTAAAAGGTTGTCAGCTTCCAAACCATACGTTCACGTGCCAGTCTATGTTTCCGTGTATACATATAACAATGCGTCGCAGTGGATGTGTGGACACGTGCTGATGTTCAATTACGCATTATTGACTGTATGTTTCGTTTGGTACTATATTTTATTTCTTTTGGTATATTTTGTATCCAAAATGGAAGCGGTCTCGTAAACTAATATTAGCTCTTTCTTGCAAAATGTCAGCAAAGTTGCAATCTAAGCTGTTTAATACTACAATAGCAGTTATATGTGTAATAAGTCAGTATAACAATATCACCGAACGTCTGAATAATATTGACCATAATATACATCCATTTTATCCCAACACGAAACCTTTTAGTGAAACCAGCAGCCGTACTTCCTAATCAATGCGAGCACTGATGTCTCTGAGTGTTCGTCTGATTTCACTTCTGCTGCAGACGACAAGTGTCAATACTTTGAAAATGGACGATTCCTGAAGGGACGTGGCGTGAAGCGGTACACACAACGCTAGTTACTGTTTGATTGCCTCGGCCAATGTATTTTCGATTTTCCATTGAACAGGTCGAGACGGGAACATCGTAATTTTAGCCAGGAGCTGATCCAAACCACCAACGACCATGTTCAGACTACTGGGCCGAAAGCAGGTAGGCAGTCGATTCCTCTCCATGTCTTTTTTCGTCATTTCGCCTTCTAACATTGTGTTAAATAGAATTCTGTGCTCGTGTTTTTTCATGGTTAAGTTAAAGTTTGGTGTAATGTTATATACGTTGATAACATTGTCTGTGTGTTAATGCGCTATTTAATCTGTTATAAAAAGTCTGGTGTCGCGACCTGGCACTTCTGCCAAGAGTAGGTATAGATAGGGAGAGCTGTGCACACTGTGACAAACTGGCCCCAATCCATGTAGCTCCTCTTAAACAGATCATTGCTATATATAGGGCTTATAACATCAGTCTGCGGGAATTATTGAATGCTTGGAGTTAAGTTGTGTTTATGACTCCCCTGGTGTAAAAATAATACCTCAATTACAGCAGAAGTATGTTTCTCAACTGTTTTTCGTAGTTATTAAGTATAGTGAGCATTTGGGGTTTGTTATTGTGTTGGTGGTATTTGAGAGTCTAGTTAGAATTGGAGAGATGAAATAGGGCTTAACGTCGTGTTCACGATTATTGCACTTATAAAGGTGTGTGTGTGCGTGCGTGTGTGTGTGCGTGTGTGCTAGCCCGCACTAATGCCTGTTTAATAGTGTTAGCCCACTGAGATACCATGCCACATGGATACCCCAGTATAATGACTCCGAGCTGGCCAGTCCTTGTTTCCCCCGTAATACCGAGGGCCAGGCGAAGGTTACAACACGTACCATCTTTTAACGTCTTTTGGTATATCGCGGCGGGGATCGAACTACCGACATTCCGCTCTCCTGCAGACGATCCATCCACTAGACCTATTAAACGGTCAATCTCGTGGGAAACACAGCATATCTATGCATGTACAACGCCTTGCCTTGGGTTTGTTTACTGCTTGAAATCAATATCGTTTAATGATCCCTATCCGTGTGGTCGTCACTGATTGGCACGAGTATCATACAGTCGTACAGACAGCACGCCGTTAAAAGAGACACACAATGATTCACGATTGCCAAGGGAACCATACGGGGAAAGTGTAAGAGTCATAAGAGGCAAAGGTAATGTCTTCTTTCTTTGCAAATATCAAAAACGTCTCTTGATACTTCAGGAACGGATTAGAACCGTCTGCCAGGCTGTACTGTTTAGGTGTAAAAAATGCTGGTGAGAATGTCGACAGACTACAACAACGGTACGACTCTTCTTAGCCAAACGTTACAAGGCGTTCTCGACGTGGTTAGCCTCTGGAGATGTGTTTCTGATCACGAGAGCCACATTAATATGTTTTGGTTGATGTACCCCTTAGGGTACTGCAATCTAAGGCAGAAAGTTGGGCAGACATCTTAAAAAGACGAAAATAATAGCTTACTTAACCAAGTGGTTTTCAATTTTCTTATTTTGTGCAGAAATATAATTCACCCATTTATTTCAAAGGGGCTTTATTCGTAAGTAATATTAGTAATACTGGCTTTCTGTTTTTATCCGACTCCAGTTTAGTCAATTTGTATAATGACCCAATTGTAAACACGTTATTGATAGAATCCCCTGACTATTAAAATATTTCCTTTGAAAATGTTATTATCCCCCTTTACGAAGTGTGGAACGGGGTTCGTCCGTCCGTCCGTCCGTCCGTCCGTCCTCTTGTCAACGGGGACAGATCTTCTCAAAAACTATTTCAGTTAGAGAAATGTAATTTAACACGCTAAAGTTACTGGTCAAGACCCCAAATAAGTTCGAAAATTGGTGCAGTTACTTTTTGTTATGGCCCTTGCTCCGTGCTTATCAACTTAGTGCTTACTGCATAATAAAGGGACAAGTCTTCTAAAAAACAACTGAAGTTACATCAATGAAAGTTAGCATGCTTATCTAAAAGGTACTTGTCAAGACTGAGTTCGAACATAGGTGCTGTAAAAACATTTGGTAGAGTTACTTCCCTTGATCAATTTTATTGAACTTAGTGTATAGTGTATGCAATGGGGACAAGGTTTCTCAGAAGCTTCTGAAATTACATGAAATTATCAAAAGTAAGTTCGAAAGTCCGATATTTTCATGACAAAGCTACTCTAGAAACATCAAAACCTTTTCCATAATACACGTCCTACTTTCCAAACATAGAGTAGAAGTATACACAGAGCCCAACATGTCTAATAATGTATACCTTCACATAATGGCGTCATTTTGTAATTGTTTGGTGTTGATAGTTCTTATCTTGTTTTTATTCCTGTCGACTAAATTTGTCTCACTCAACAACTCTGACATTGCGAATAAGTAACAGCAAGCAAGTAAGAGTTATGTCCCTTTGAAGGTGACTCGCCTGCGCTCAGTTCGTCCACAGATATCCTTGCCTTATGCGTTACCCCATTGCAAGTGATAGAAAACTGCAAAGTCACAAGGTACAACAGTTTCCTGTTTGTATAACCGAATGTTGAACAGATTATCTTAACCCAAAGGTCTCATGAAACATAAACATTAGACATACAAAAGCAATCGCTCGCCAAACGGTAGGCCGAGTTATTGACTGCACAGAACATCGCGAGACCTACCACTTCGGTCCGAAGGCGCTCGTGTCGCTGTTCTGTTGTAAATGGCAGGACCTATATCTACCTTAGATTAAGGTAATGACAAGACCTACCTACATTAAGCCGTATTCCAAGCCGAAAGGCGTTAGATAGAACAAAACAACTGGTACATGCAACTTAGACGAAAATGTTTGAAATACGAGATAATGGGATCAGAACATATGAACAGCTGTCCAAAGCGCTCATAAAATGTCTGCATAGCATCGCGGATGTGCGGGTGATGTCCGTGTTGTTGGCGGGACTCGGTTATATAAGAAGTATTATTCATCAAACAAGCACATGACGCTTACATAATAAGATGTCTATTTGTTTCCACTTTCATCAGCACACATATGGTTCCAAAGTGGTTAGTAACTGCACTGTGTGTATTTATACAGTGGAACCCCGATACTATGGACACCGTTAATCCCAACGTTGTTCCTCTTTACAGAAACAAACCCGTGAAGATCCCGGTTAGAATAGGTCTTCAGCAACCCATGCTTGCCGTAAAAGGTGAATATGCTTGTCCTAAGAGGCGACTAGCGAGATCGGGTGGTCAGGCTCGCTGACTTGGTTGATACATGTCATCGTATCCAAATTGCGTGGACCAATGCTCATGATGTCAATCGCTGCATTGTCTGGTCCAGATTCGATTATTTACAGACCACCATCATATAGCTGGAATATTGCTGATTGCAGCGAAAAACAACAAATAAAGAAACAAACAAACTGTATAGGAACAACGTATAAAACAAAAGAACATGTAAACCCATAACTCGTTAATCCGGAAATGTGTTGATCCGGGTGATTTCACTGGGAACAGGTCCGTCCGAGATAACGAGGTTTCACTGTAGGATTCTGACAGAAGAAATTTTTATGACTCGTAAGCCTAGCCGAGAGCCACTCTGCTGCAGAAATTCACTCTCACATACAATATTGATGAGGCGAACAGGACGTTAGTAGAGCATCCAATATTCATGAACATACACGATGAGCGATGGTGACTCACAAAAGCAAACACGGATTTTTTGTTTTGTTTGTTTGTTGTTTTGTGTGTTGTTTTGGGGGTACACTTAAAATATGAACTTAACGGACGACAAATTCGGGAAACAATTTGCGTTTATTTGGCAAAGATTATTCACCAGATGTCATTTTTGTTGAAAACATGTCACCAAATGATTTTGTTATATAGTTTTTATACGTTATCTTGAAGCTGGGGTTATGAAAAGTCTCTGTAGGGTAACTGTCAACTGACAAAAATAGATGGCATGAGGAAAATATATATAATATATATATATATTGGCACTTTTATCATGCATGTCCACACCACCCATCATTTTTCCATTCACGGCATTTTAACAATTGGTTAACATTTTAAATGTATGATCACGTCGATGAATGTGTGTTTAAAGTTGTGCAAGCGTCATTTGGGCGTGGAGGTGCATTCCGTCTGTATTTGAATACAGAACAAATCGTCAAAAAATGTTAATACATGTAATACTGGATGCAGAGTTCTGGGTCATATATGGCTATGATAAAAAAAAATACATATTACGACAGTCATGTGACCCCTAGATAAATACTGATAAAAAGGGCTTATCTTAATCGTATGGATTCCATGAAACAAACCATAGATTAGGTACACCAGTATACCAAACTTGTCGTAATATGTGACTAACGGGATCGGGTGGTCATGCTCGCTGACTTGTTTAATGCATGTCATCGTATCCCAATTGCGTGGATCGATGCTCATGACATCAATCACTGGATTGTCTGTCTCGATTATTTACAGACCGCCGTCATATAGCTGGCATATTGCAGAGTGCGGCATTGGACAACAAACAAACAAACCAAAGTACCCACTAATTATTTCCACTTCGTCACCGCTTTGTGAAACCATGTTTAAATTATCCTTATGATTAATAAACATATCGCAGCACGTGATATTCATTAATACTTTATGATTGTTACAAAATATGATGGTTTTCCGCAACATTAAACCCGCCAGAAACGTATAACACATAAAGGGAAGGTAAAAGACTGATCCGCGTGATTAAGTTACCCCCTTTCTTATTCCTGATTAGAGTCGCATGGAGTCAATGCAATACGAAGTCATCCTTAGCAACGAACACAAAACAAACATTGCTTGGTAATTTTGTTACAAATGGAGGAACATGTTTTGTGTAGTTTGTTTACGCTCACGTACCGGTTTTTGTCGCGGACAGAGTTCCTTGATTATAAGTGGGAATGAGTTCACCTCGGTAGACATTTCTGGGAGCAGATAGGTTGTGGATTTGACTTCCGTGAATATTAAGTTGAGCTTAACATGTAAGAATATATTTAAAAAACCACTTAAATTTGAAGTCGGCGTTAAACAACAAACACACACACTGCTGCAGCGAGTGTAAATATACGCAGTTTCAATTTCTAGTGTTATATTTCAAATGTACGCATGTATCATGT